CTCTGGTGATTCACCAGGTGGGAATTCTGACTGAAACTTTTCCCACAGTCAGGACACTGATACGGTTTCTCTCCTGTGTGTGTCCTCTGGTGTTTTACCAAGTCATAATTCTGAATGAAACTTTTCCCACAATCAGGACATTCAAAGAATTTCACTCCTGTGTGTGTGTTCCGATGTTTCATGAGTCTAGAATTGTGACTAAAACTTTTTCCACAATCAGGAATTTCAAAGGGTTTGTCTCCTGTGTGTGATTTCTGCCTCGTATAAATCACCTGGTGTTTCACCAAGTTGACGTGCATGCTAAAGCTCCATTCCTGTATGGTCCTTCCATCAAGCATAAGGGAGCTGTTTTGATCAAAGTTTTTGTCACATTCATAGTATTTGTGTGGATTTTCTCCAATGTGAATCATTTTGTGCATAATCAGCCATGATTTGAAGTCTGTACTTTTCCCACAATATGCATGTCAGTGGAGCTTTTCCATCATTTGTGATATTTTGTTTAATGGTGGTTTGATTGCGGCTATTGTTCCCTTCCTTACAGGGCAAGATTTGCATTACTGTATGCCCTATGTGGCTATTCAATTGACCTTTCCCTGTGACTTCCAGACACTGCCCTCTTTTTCTGAATGGAAAAATAATCTCCTTTGACTTTTCATGAAATGTATCTTTGAGTTCCACATACTCCACATTTTCCAGCTAAAAATCTCCTCTTAATTTTCTCTCCTTTGTGTCTCACCTACTGGGTAAGGAGAAGAATTGTGTGTTTTCTGTAGGAAATGGAAAATATTTTGATTTCTAGCGTGATTTCATTTCCTTTTCAAAGTTGCTTGTTATTCCCAGTTGTCCAGAGTGCTCTTATTGGCATCCTCTTTTTCTGTAAGATTCAAGTAAAAGTATAACTTTAATTATTTATAAAATGGTTGCATAAGATGTCATAAAAGGAAAAAAAGAATACATTACAGCTAAAAAACATGCCACAATGCTAGAATAGCCTCTTATATTAGTTATGATTCATTTGTCACACTGAAGATTACCGAGATCCAAGTTCACATAGCCATTCAATCATGAAATTCTCTTTTTGAGTTGAACCAATTACAAATTCTTAGTATGGCAATTATTGGGTAGAACCTCTGTAATTAAGATGAATGTAACATAGAACATAGAATAAGAGAGCTGGAAGGGACCTTGAAAGTCTTCTGGTCCAACCCCCCGCTAAAGCAGGAGACCCTATATCATTTCAGACAAGTGGCTGTTGAGTCTCTTTTTGAAAACCTCCAGTGATGGAGGACACACAACTTTTGAAGGCATGCTATTACTTTTGTTGATTTCTCTAATCCAGGGGTGTCAAACCCGTGTTGTCATGGTGTCACCATGTGATGTGCCGTGACTTTTTCCCCTTCGCTAAACCGGGCGTGGGCATGGCCAGCATGTGACGCATCCGGCCCGTGGGCCACACCATGCAGCCCGTTCCAGGCAGCGGGGATTGGAACGGGTCAAAAATGGGGCACGCAGAGGCTGAAAACGGGATGCGGAGGCCAAAAATTAGGCCGAAGGGTGGGAGCCAGTGGGTCGGCAGAGCTTCGGCAACATTTGCTGTATAAGGCACAGACATTTCCACCCATTTTTTTTGTGTGTGTGTGTGGGGGGGGGTATGCATTTTATACACCGAAAAATATGGTAAATTATTGCAAGATGCTAAGGAAAGAGGAGATTGGGTTTATCAGATTTGAAATTGTACTTAGATGCTTGTTGTTTTGTCTGGCAAGAAGAGTGGGTAACTCTCCAAATTAAGAGATTACTTGAGCTAGAGGGCCATGAATTAAGATTTTGATGGCACAACTACTTATGGTATGACATGGTTAGGGAATGATATAAAGGCAGTGGATTTTGGAAATATAAAGAAGAGTTTTTTATCATTTATGGTGCACATGTGACAAAGCAAAGAAATATTGGAGTAGGATACGCATCTTAATACAGACTCTTAAAGTGATATAAAGATAAAACCAGATAGTTTTCTTTTAGGCTTAATGGATAAAGAACTTGAAAAATGTAACATTGATTATGTATGTATGTATGTATGTATGTATGTATGTATGTATGTATTGATGGCATCAAAATATTTATGCAAAAATGGAAGAATATTTACATTCCCACAGTGGATGAATGGCTGCAAAACCTGATGGAGTTAGCAGAGTTGGCTAAATTGACTGCCTTGATTAAAGAAAAGAACACAATTAATTTAGTTTTTATATGGAAACTGCTTCTAGACTTTGTGCTTGAGGTGGAAAAAAATGAAACCTTGATTTGGAGCTTTGTTTGATTAGATAGGTTTGTTGTTATAAAAATGGCTAGTATATATTATCATATAAAGGTAAAAAAAAGTTGAGGTTTTATGTTAGCACCTTATTCTACTGCAACAAAAGGAGTCAGAAGGCAATGCTTTTCTTTTTCTTTTCCCCTTGACCCTACACTTTTCTCTTGTCCCCTTTCCTTCCCTTATTTTACCATTATTTTCATTTGGTGAAATGAAGCCTAAGGTTCTGCAAGATTTGAAGCACCAGTTTGCCAATAGAAGTTATCAGCTCCAAGTAAGGGCAGAATATATTTTCCACAGCCACTCTGGTGATATCCCAATTCAAGTAGTCTTCACTTAGTGACTGTATTTGACTATGGCATCTGTGTCACTAAGCAGCCTGATCATGAAGCATGATGTCACATGACAGTGCCAACTTACATCTGTTCCTCTGCAGTTCTTAAGCAAATCCCTGTGGGCTGTTAAAGACAATTTCACATGACTGCATTTGCAACTTCCTGCCCGCATCCCCACTGATTTTGCTTTACAGACGCTAGCTGGGAAAGTCACAAGTGAGAATCAAGAGTGTGGGATGCAACCATCATAAAAGTGCAGTGGTTGGCAACACATGAATTGGTGCAACTCCTTTTCCTGCACCTTCATAACCATAGGAACACAAATTAACCACAAATTTGTGGACCAGGTGTTGTTGTTAGTTGCGGAGTCGTGTCCGACCCATCGCGACCCCATGGACAACGTTCCTGCAGGCCTTCGTGTCCTCTACCAACCGCCGTAGTCCATTTAAGCTCACGCCTACTGTTTCAGTGACTCCATTGCAACTTTGAAATCTCATGAAACAAATGGCAAGTAAGGACTAGATATACAACTGAACATCCCAAAAGGTTGTCAATTGCTATTTTTTTAGTTTAACCTGGTTAATTCATGGAATGGGGCACCAATAAAACAATTACTACCAACCTGCCTTCAACCGAGGACCTGTATGCTGCACGAGTCAAAAAGAGGGCTGTAAAAATATTTATATAAACTGTTTCAACTCCTACCCTCAAAACAATGCTATAGAGCACTGCATACCAGAACAATTAGACACAAGGACAGTTTTTTCCCAAATGCCATCACTCTGCTTTAACAAATAATTCCCTCAATACTGTCCAACTATTTACAAAGTCTGCACTACTATTACTATTAATCTTCTCATCACTCCTTATGACCCATCCCCTCCCACTTGTGACTGTATGACTGTAACTTTGTCGCTTGTATCCTTACTATTTATATTGACTGTTTCCTAGTATGATTTGATTGCTTATTGTACCCTATGACTATCATTAAGTGTCGTACCTGATGATTCTCGACTCTTGACGAATGTATCTTTTCTTTTATGTACACTGAGAGCATCTGCACCAAGACAAATTCCTTGTGTGTCCAATCATGCTTGACCAAGGAAGAATTCTATTCAATAGGAAATAGTGTGCAAGACAGGGAAGTAAAAAATAAAACAAACCCCCCACAAGTGACTATTGGCAGTCTGATATTGTTGAGGAAACTGCAGGTACATATAGAATAAGAGAATTAAAAGTGGCCTTGGTGATCTTCTAATCAGGCAGGAGAACTTATAGCATTCCGGACAAATTGTTGTCCAATCTCTTCTTAAAAACCTCCAGTGACAGAGCCCCCACAACCTCTGGAGGGAAGCCATTCCCAAAGGATCAACCTTCACTTGAAACACTTTTTAAATCTTCCCACCAGCAGAAAATTGCAGCCACCACTTTAACAGTGTGCGACACCAGAGGACTTAAATTTGGGGAGGGAAGGAACCTGCAGCAGGAGCAGGAGTCGCTGATATGCTTCAGCCTAGTTGCTTCTCTGCTTCCACATCATGGAGGAAGCCAAGCAGCCTTACTTGCTCCCAGACTCTCCCCCAACCTGCCCTCAACTCACCTTCCAGCTGCTGCTTTGACCCAGGGAAGAGCACAGGATCCACTCTGCACACCACCTTTTGCCCATTGAGTGATCTGGAAGAGGAAGTTGCTGTGCTTCTCCTTGCCTCCCATCCTTTCTAGAAATATAGTACTTGATGGTTTTAACCCCTTAAAGCTCAACCACAGATGCTTCTACTGTTTTGACGGTTCTAGTCACTGATGCTGCCTATCTGACCGCCATCTTCCATTAAGAGACAAAAGAACACTTGTATATGTGGCTATATGCATACTTTTGTATTTATTTATTCTATCATGTTTATGTAATATATATTAGAGGTGGTGACCCTTTGAGAGCTGTATGCAATGAAATTTCATTGTAATGTATGCTGATTAGTGTACCTTCAAAGTGACAATAAAGTTATTCTAAGTCTAAGTCCTGTCCCTACCTAAAGGGTTTGCAAGATGTTTTTACTGGTTAAATGCTATCAAGTCATTTTCAACTCCTAGAAACCTACCTTTGCAACTGATTTATGTAAAATAGTGGAATGTGATGCTACTTAGCTTGTGAAATTAGCTATGTGCTGAGCCCTAAAGGTTTATGAAGGTCTTACAGAATTACATAAAAAGAGGTGGGAGAGACCAACTCTCCAAGCAGGAGATCCTGGCCTATATTGTTCCAGACAAATGGCTGTCAAATCTCCTCTTAAAAAACCTCCAATGATGGACCACCCTTTGGAGGCAAGCCATAAAAGCTGTCAGGTAATCCTTACTCCTTCTGTTAGACTGGACATATCCTGCAATCATTCCTCCTTTGTTTTAGCCTCCAGTCCTGTTAATATTGTTGTTGATCTTCTCTGCACTCTTTCTAGAGTTGATTTTTTTCAACTTCAGCTGCTGTGCGAGGCACAGCTGCAGTTAAAAAAGCAGGAAAAAAGGGCTTTTTGAAAGGCTGCTTCTCTGCACGCAGAATGCTGATGATGATTTACAGGCGCAGGCCAGCAGCGTGCAGGGAAGCACATCATATATCACCGAACCTCTTAAATGACCGGACTGGTAGTTAACCCTGTCGGATCCCACCCCTGCACAGGATCTCAGGACACTGCAACTGTCATAAATATGAACCAGTTGCCAGTGTAAATCACATGACCATGGGGATATTGCAATGGTCCTAAGTGTAAAAAATGGCCACGAGTCACTTTTTTCAACGTCAATGTCACTTGAGAAATGTCACTAAATGAACCGTTGTAAGTTGAGGTGTATATCAGAGAACCCCCTTCCTCTCTTTGGAAAGCTGTTTGTAAACACAGTGGAAAGCTTTTTTTTTTTTAAGGGTAGATTGTACAGCCCATAAAAAGGGCTAAAACTAAAATTGAAAACTTCCATGGGTGATGATGATCAGTTAGTGGGGGTGGAGAGAAACAGGGATGCAGCAGTCAGCAGAAAGGGAATCTGGGCAGGTGAGAGACTGAGGCAGATTCAGGGAGTGCATCTCCAAGCAAGCCCACCTGGACAGGGCTGCCCACTGGCCAAGCCCACCTGGACGCCTTTTTCAGGTCTCCGTCACCCGCCATTCAGATGCCAGGGCTTCCTCCAGCCACGATCTCTCTGAACCCAGATCCTCTTCCTCCCCTCCAGACCCTGGGAGGCGGATCCTCCCCAGCAGCGACAGGGGAACATGGGAACGGTGGTGCCCAACATTAGGCGGCCTCACCCTGGGAGCCGGGCTGCACCAAATGTTGGGCTGCGGGGAAGGAGTGGGGGGGGGGCTTGGAGGGAGGATTTTAAGGGGATCGGAGAGCCGTTCGCGCAACCGAGGAGGAGAAGCGGCGGCGCAGCGGTTCTCACGGAGCAGAAAACCTTACGAGGAAAGGCGGGGACTCGGAAGGGGAGGGGGCGCAACTGGGGAAACCCCACCTCGCTCTCCTTCCCTCCCCCCAGGAATCCCTCCTCCCTTCCAGCACCTGGGGATTCCCCCTCCTCTTCCTCCCCCCTCCTGGTCCCCTCCCCCTCTCGCAGCGGCCTTGCCCACCTGGCGCTCTCCCCGAGAGGGGATCCCCGCAGGCCTGGCTTAAAAGACGTCGGGAGACCAGAAAGAGGAGCGGGAAGGAAGCTGGATTCCCAGCCCCCTTTCCTGCCTCCTCTCTAGGCGCAAAAGAAAAGCTCTGCGTTTAACCCCTTCGCTGAAGCAACCAAGGGGAAGGGACGACTGGGACGCCGTCGAGCAATGCCAAAGCTCTCCAACCGGGGACCGCAAAAGACCGTCAACCCACCCCGCTCCCCGCACTGGAAGGCCAAAACACCAAAACCAAAGACCGAGGTTAAATATATATAGAGAGAGAGTTGCATGTGCTAATCTTCACCTCTAAATGCAAATTAGGAATTCATCACTATTGAAGATGGGCAAGAAAGACCTGTAGATGTGTTTGGACTACGACACCCACCATCCTTCACCCTGGTATTAGACATTGGGATTTGCTCAATACAAATACAACATCTCACCTTATATGGTATGTCAAGAGGAGTCTGGTGGCATCTCTTCTGGCTAACAAATTACATTTAAATGCATAATTCACTCTTACTCTGCCAAAGCGCTATTCGATGCCATCCAATTTTTGGCTCCCATAGACTCACACCCCTCTCCTCCCCCCAAAATATGGAAAATTGCTCACTCTGAGTAGATGATCCATTTCCGGCCTTCCTTCCCCTGTTCTAAAATGAAGGGGAGTGAGTGATAAGGAAGGAAGGAAGAAAAACAGAGATATAAATTAGGAGATACAGGAAGCGTATCCAGGGTTAGCCATACAGGACTCAAGTGCCTATACACAAATGCTCAAAAGTTTTGGGAACAAATGAGGTGAACTTGGAAGAACTAATACATAAGGGTGAGTATGATATGGTTGTCATTTCCGAAACTTGGTAGGATGAAACTCAGGACTGGAATGGACAGATGATGGACAGATATAAACTTCAAAAGAAACGGCCCTAACAAAAGAGGTGAAGTTGCACTATTTGTAAGAGATCACTACATCTCTAAAGAAATGCACAAAATCAAGAATGAAAGCCTTATTCCTAGAGGGGTGATGGGGGTGGGTAATGGTCTTTTGTGGGGTCCCAGCTGGAGCATTTTGCATTGCTCATCATCGGTGCCCCCCTCACCCCCTCACCACAGTAGCTTCAGTGAAGGGGTTAAATGAAAAGAGAGCTTTTCTTGTGTGCCTAGAGAGGCAGAAGGTGGGGGGTGGAATGGGCTGGGAGCCCAGTTTCCATGCTCTTCTGCTCCCCTTCCTGGCCTCCAGCCACTTCTGTCATGCCCCTGTCGGAATCTGACAGGGAGTGGGAGTGTGGCTCCGTTGGCTGTGAAAGAAACTGCGGGAAGGGCACAGTCCGACTGGGCAGAGCAGGGGAGAGGTAGAGCAAGGCAGAGGGAATTCGGAGGAAGACCCAGGCCCACCACCTCTTCATCCTAGGGCACGCAGGGAGGAATGGAGAAGTTGCATGAGATGCGTGGCTTACAGGGGAGGAAAGGGCCCTGATTCCCTTCATTAGCTGCAGCTGGGAACACTGTTTAAAAAGGGAAGCTGCGCACAGCAAGTTGTTGGGAGCAAATCATGAATTATCTGGTATCGTGGAGGCTTATCTGTGTTCCTGGCGTCTTCCCAGCTGTGTGTGTTTTGCTGTGCTTTCAAGTCAGCAATTCCTTCTCCTGCCCTGTCAAGTTAATTACCGCAGTGTGGTTTGTGTGGATTTTTAGCTACAGTTTATATGCACTTTGTTTTCGGACGGAATTTCCTCCACTTAAAGGCTGTTCCTGGGAGAGTTTTTCTCCAGCCAAAGGTAACCTGGACATTGGGGGCAAAGTTGGAGATAATAAAGAGACTCTTCTTGCTTATTTGACTGTGTTGCCTTTGTGCCATGCCCTGGGTCATCACACTTCTGTATGCCAGGGCTTCCTTTGAAGGGAAGAGTGCACAAGGGGTGCTAGGTAGGCAAGGATGCTGCAAGAAGGGGAGGGGAGCAGGAGAAAGGACACAATCAGGATAAAAGGGGGAGAATCCCCAGATGTGGGAAGGGAAGGGGAGACTTCTTGGGGTGAGGACAGACATGTTTTTCCCCAGCTGCCCCCATCTCCTTCTGAGTCCTCATCTTTACTTGCCAGGTTTTCTGCTCTCTGGAAACCGCTGGCCTTTATATAGCCATGTAACTTGGAGAAAAGTGGAAAATTACCAATAAAGGAGAATATTTGTAGCTCAAGTTTGAAATGAGGGGTCCTTGGTGCTCTCTGAGCTTCCTGGCTTTTTTGCAGACGATTCATTACCCAAACTAAGTAATATCAACAGTGCTAGTGAAAGTTGGAAAGGGGAGAATATAATGGAATAATTAGAGGAAGCGGGACTGGCTTGATAGAATGTAAACAGCGATATTTTATTCCAACAACTCAAGTCTCTTTGGAGTTCAACCAACCTGCCTCTTGTGCACACCAGTCTCTCTTTCCCCAAATGCTCTGCAGGCAGTTATTGGAGCTCCCAGGCCTGTCCCTTGACCTGAAATTCTTTTATCGTTCTACAAAATCACAGAACTCTCTTGATCTCTTTGTAATGACATTTGTAAACACAGTGGAAAGCTTCTTTTTCAGCGTAGATCATTATACAACCCGTAAAAGAACTAAAATTGAAATTGAAAACATCCAAAGACAGGGCTGTTCCCTTACATGGGCAGAGAGAAACAAGGATTCAGCAGTCACTAGAAAGGGAGGTAAGAGAGGCAGATTCAGGTGCTGCATCTCCAAGCAAGCCCACCTGGACAGGACTGCCCATTGGCCATTGGATGCCTCTCAGGTCTCCCATCACCCTCGAGATGCCATTGGCCTTCTCCTAACACAGTTCAAGCCCTCAGAGGAAGCCCCTCCAGCCACGAGTCCTCTGAACTCAGGTCTCCCTGGGTCCTCCCCTCTTCTTCCCCTCCACATACTGGGAGGCTGATCCTCCCCAACAGTCACAGGGGAACGTAGGAACATTGGTGCCCAACCTTCCGGAAAACACAAGGAGACTTCACCTGGGCTGCACCAAGACGTTGGGCTGAGAGGAAAGAGAGGGGCTTGGAGGAAGGATTTTAAGAGGATTGGAGAGCCGTTCGCAAAAGCAGCAACCAAGGAGGCCAAGCGACTGCATTGCTCATTTTTAATGCCAAGCTTTTCAGTAAGTTTACTGTCAAGGGCATTCCCCATACATGCTCCCACATATTAAAAGTTCCTCGGCGTAGGATATTGGGAAAACAAAGTATGAACATTCAGATCAACATTTTGCACCCATAGTGCTCCAGTTTTAAAAAGGACCTTCATTTTGACCTGGCTCAACAACAGTAACTGTGAGAGGAATCCAGGACTCCTAGTGAACAACCACTGGGCTGCAGCTACAGAAAAAGCCAATGCAGTCCTAGTCTGCATCAGCAGAGGGATAGGATGGTATCAAGGTCACATGAAGTGTGCACACTGCATTAGACTGCGCTGGTAAGACTACATTAGAATATTCCATCCAGTTTTGGAGAGTAAAACATAAGATGAACGGTTGCAGGAACTGGGTATGTCTCTAGTGTCTATCTAACAGAAAGAAGGAATAGGAGTGACATAATAGCAGTCTTTCAATATTTAAGGGACTGACACAGAAAAGAGAGGGTCGACATATTGTCTAAAGCAGGAAAAGAACAGACTTTTAAAAAAGGTTTCTAACCTATAATTAAGGAGAAATTTCCTGCAAGTGGAACCAATTAATCAGTGGAATGGCTTTCCTCAGGGGTGGGATTTAAAAATCCAGGCAACTGGTTTACTGCCCAGTTGCTAGGCGGGCGTGGCCATGATGGGCATGGTCTACTGAAACTTCCTGTTTCCGGCTTCCAGTGGGCCTCCAGAGCTCGGGGGAGGTCGTTTTCCCTCTCCCAAGGGTCCAGAGATTTCCCCATGGCCTCTGGGAGGGCAAAAACAGCTTCCTCCAGACTCTGGAGGCCCGTTTCTGGACTTCCGGAATGACCATTTTTCCCGCTCCCCGAGCCTCCACACAGATCGTGCACTGACCTCCATCGAAAATGGGCTGCGTGGAGATTCCTGGGAGGGGAGGGGCAGAGTGGGTGGGGCCAGCCGGTCGATTGAATTACTGGTTCAGCGAACCAGATATAACTTTAACATCCGGTTCGCATGAACCTTTCCTCCAGAAATTGTGGGTGCTCCATTTGTTAGGAATGGCCTAAGGTCCTCAGGGAGCCAGTGGGATTGGGAAAAGCCTGAGGGTATTCTGTGGGGAAGGCCTGTGGGTGGAAGGAAAAGTCTGGTGGGACCCTGTAAGGGAGAAAAAGCCCTGGGAGAGGAGGAACCAAGGGTTGGGAATCAATAGGTGTCTTGGGGTGTTGGGAGGCCTAGCGATGCTTGGGGGAGCAAGCCTGGGCTTGAGCTAGCCCTGCAAGAGTTTCCCCCAACTCTGAGGTAGCCAGTGTCCTATTTAGGATTTCAATAATCAATATACAAAAAACACCATCCAAAAGCCGTTTTGAGAAATTCCACAAATTTTGTAAAAGGAAATATCCAGTAACCTCTGTTGACAAACACAAAAGTAGTTACCCTTTATCAAACTAATATTTTCCATTTTTTCCCTCCACCAAAAAATATAATCCTGAGAGATGCTGACTAAAACGAATCAAGACGCAATTCAAATTGTCAGTTTCTCACTGACACTTCCAATGGGAAATCAGAAATGAAATTCAAGCCTTCTCTAAACCTGCCAGCGTTTGCCTCATATGGATTACCTTGTGTGCAATAAAGGATGATTTCCGTCTGAAGTACCGTCCACAAACCGAACATCTGAAAGGCTTTTCCCCTGTATGCAAAACTACATGACTTATAAGGCTAGACCTACTACTGAAATCTTTCCCACAATCCGGACATTCGTATGGTTTCTCTCCAGTGTGAGTCCTCTGGTGTATCACCAGGCTGGAATTCTGACTGAAATGTTTCCCACAGTCAGAACATTCAAAGGGTTTCTCTCCTGTGTGAGTCCTTTGGTGTGTCATCAGATTGGAATTCTGACTGAAACGTTTGCCACAATCAGGACATTCAAAGGGTTTCTCTCCTGTGTGAGTCCTCTGGTGTGTTGCCAGGTTAGAATTCTGACTGAAACTTCTGCCACAATCAAGACATTCAAAGGGTTTCTCTCCTGTGTGAGTCCTCTGATGGTTCACCAGGTCAGAATTCTGACTGAAACTTTTCCCACAATCAGGACATTCAAAGGGTTTTTCTCCTGTGTGAGTCCTCTGGTGTTTCACCAAATTGGAATTCCAACTGAAACGTTTGCCACAATCAGAACATTCAAAGGGTTTCTCTCCTGTGTGAGTCCTCTGGTGAATCACCAGGCTAGAATTCTGACTGAAACCTTTCCCACAATCAGGACATTCAAAGGGTTTCTCTCCTGTGTGAGTCCTCTGATGGATCACCAGGTGGGAATTTGCAATGAAACTTTTCCCACAATCAGGACAGTTATATGATTTCTTTCCTGTGTGCATCCTCTGGTGTACCACCAGGTGGGAATTTGCAATGCAACTTTTCCCACAATTGGACCATTCAAAGGGATTTCGCCTGATGTGAGTCCTCTAATGTATCACTAAGTTGCCATGCTTGCAAAAACATTTACTGCATTGTGTGGGTCCTTCCATGAACCACAAGGGAGCTGTTTAACTAAAGCTTTTCCCACATTTGGATAATTTGTATGGCTTTCCTCCAGTGTGGCTCCTGTCATGCTTAATCTGTGATTTGCTATCTGTGATGTTCCCACAATAGGCACATCTATGGAGCTTTCCCACCACTCTTCTTAAAGAGGTCAAAAATATGTGTGATCTCTGGTTGCATGGAGCTTTGATACTGTTTTCTTCCTCACAGGGCAAGGCCTGCCTTACTGTCTACTCCTTGTGACTAACCAATTGTCTTTTTCCTCTCCACCCACTTCTAGACATTTCCCTATTTTTCTGAATGAAAAATAATCTCCTTTGACCTTTTTGTATAATCTATTGTTGAGTTCTGCATAATCTACTTTTTTCAGGTTGAAATATCTTCTTGATTTTCTCTCCTTTGTCTCTCACCAGCTGAGTAAGGAGAAGAATTGTGTGCTTTTCCGAAGGCTCAATTTGCTTCCATTTTCAAAGTTGCTGGTTATTCTCAGTTGGTCCAGAGTGCTTTTATTGATATCCTCTTCGCTGTAAGATTTAAATAAAAGTGTAACTTTAAAATTGTTTATTTATAAAATGATTGCAGAAGATGTGAAAACAAGTATACATTACAAGTAAAAAGCAAACATGCCACAATGCTGAAATAGCTTCTAATGTTAATTATGATTCATTTGACACATTGAAGATTATAAGGGGTGGGATTCAAAAATCCCAGCAACTGGTTCGCTGCCCAGTTGCTGGGTGGACATGGCCATCGTAGGCGTGGCCTACCGGAACTTCCGGGAGGGCCGTTTTTCGCCTTCCCAAGGGGCCAAAGGCTTCCCTCGGGCTCTGGGAGGGCAAAAACGACCTCCCTCGGGCTCTAGAGGCCCTCTGGAAGCCAGAAACAGGCCCATTTTGTGACTTCTGGTACTTTCGGTAGGGCCATTTTTCACCTTCCCAAGGGTCCGGAGGCTTCCCTCGGGCTTCTGGGAGGCCTCCCCCAGGCTCTAGAGGCCCGAGGGAAGCAGGAAACAGGCCCATTTCCGGACTTCCGCTACTTCCAGAAGGCCCGTTTCCCCCCTCCCAGAGCCTCCGCGCGGACTCTGCACTTACCTGCATTGAAAATGGGCTGCGTGGAAATTCCTGGAGGAGAAGGGAGGGGTGACTGGGGCCAGTCAGTCGATTCAAACACCAGTTCAGTGAACCAGATGCAAATTTAACATCACCAGTAGACTCTCACGCCTGAAGATTACCGAGACCCAAGTTCAAATATTCATTCATGAAATACACTTGTTTGACTTGGGTCAATCACAAATTCTTCATACTGCAATTATTGGGATAATTCAGATAAATGTTTTACCAAACATGCTATTTCTCTTTCATACTTTAAATATTATAATTGAAACTCAATTTAAACTATGGCAGATGGACATCTCTAAGTTTTGATGGTAAAGGAAAAAGCCAAGAATTAAATATAAATTATTGCAAGATGCTAAGGAAAGAGGTTTGGATTTATTAGATTTGAAATTTCTTTGATGCTTGTTGTTTTCTGGAAAAAAGAGCGAGTGACTCTTCAAAATAAGAAGTTACTTGAGCTTGACAGCCATGAATACAGATTTTGATGGCACAGCTATTTATAGGTTAAAGCAAATGTTGATTTTAATAATCACTTTGTTAGACATACCATCTTAAGAGTTTGGAAGAAATATAAAGTTCTCTAGGATGATGCCTCTTTGTCTGTCTGCTCGGAAACATTTTTAAAGAAAAGAAATGGTAGCAAGAAATGGTAGCAAGAAATGGTAGCAAGGCCAGACTGGCAGACTGGCAGCCAGACTGGCAGGTCAAATAATATTTTTTCAGTTATCATGACATCCTTAAATCTAAACAGGAGTTGGAATCAGAAGGATGTTTGTCATTGGTTTATATATTTACAATCAAAAGAAAGATTTGAACTAGACAAAAAGAGCTATGGATACGATTTTGTGAAAAATGAATTGGAAATGCTACTTGGTAGTATTGAACATATTGTTGCTAAGATTTATAAACTGTTATTGAACTTGCAGAATGAATATGTAAAGCATTGTATGACTCAGTGGGCAAAGAACTTTGGATGCAATATAATGCTTGAACAATGGAAGAATAGAACAGAGTTGGAAGGGATCTTGGAGGCAGAAAGCTCTATACCAAATGGTTTTATGATGATGGTTGGTATCTAACATCGAAAAAATTATCAAGAATATGTAGAGGCACCTCGAATGTTGGAAATGTAAATAAGAGATTTTATCATTTATGGTGGACATGTGACCAAGAAATATTGTAGTAGAATTCACATCTTAATACCAAAGCTGCTTAAAGAGAATATAAAGATAAAACCAGAAAGATTTATTTTAGGTTTAATGGATAAAGAACTTGAAATGAAACTTTGATATTATATATGTTGATGACATCAAGAATGCTACATGCAAAAAAATGGAAGGATGTTTTCATTCTCACAGTGGATGAATGGCTGTAAAACCTGATGGAGTTAGCAGAGATGGATAAATTGACTGCCTTGGTTAAAGAAAAGAACAGGATTAATTTTGTTTCTACATGGAAACTGCTTTTGGAGTTTGTTCTTCAGATAAAAAAAAAAGAAAGTTTTATTTTGGGCTTTGTTGATTAGATAGGTTTGTTGTTATAGAAGTGCTAGTATTTATTATCTTAAGAAGTTGAGGTTTCATATTATTCTACTGCTCCAAAAGGAGTCAGAAATCAATGTTTTTCATTTTCCTTTCCCCTACACTTTTCTCTCTTCCCCTTTTCCTCCCGTTTTTCCAATATTTTAATTTTTTCTTTACACTTCTGTATCTACATTTTGATGAATTAATAAAATATTTGTGTAAAAACAAATTCTTAGCAGTCTAAAGGGTTATCATGAAATATAACTAGAAGTGCTGGGGATAGATTATACAATTGTAGATATGTATACAGAGCGAAGTACAAATACACACACCTACAAATATGTATATATGTGGAAAATCCATGTGTTTTCAGCCTGAAAGGTATCCCAAACTGGTTACAGTCAAATCTTCTGTGCTAACTTTAGAGATGTGGGAGCTTTAACTGATGAAATTATGCCTTAAAGGCTCTGCAAGATTTGAAGCACCAGTTTTGCCATGGAAGTCCTCAGTTCCAAATAAGGGCAGAAAATATTGTCCACAACCACTCTGGTGACATCCTAATTCAAGTAGTCCTCACTCACTGACCACATTTGGGACTGGCATCTGTGTCACTAAGCAGCACGATCATGAAGCATGATGTCACATGAGAGTGCCAATTTACAGCTGTTCCTCTGCAATTGTTAAGCAAATCATTTTTGGTTGTTCAAGGCAAGTTCACATGACCGTGGTTTGCAACTTCCTGCTGACATCTCCACTGATTTTGCTTGTGCAAAGCTAGCTGGGAAGGTCAGAAATGGGGATCCTGAGTGTGGGATACTAAAACCATCATAAATGTGCACTGGTTGGCAGAACCCAAATTGGTGCAAGTCCTTTTTCTGCACCTTCATAACCACAGGAAGTGCTGACATATGGTCATTGAACGAGTGCTACAATGACCACAAATTTGTGGATCCACTGTGTATGTGCCTTTACAGTGCCATAGTAACTTTGAGGGCCTAGGGAAGAAGTGGTAAGCGAGGAGTACCTATACAACTGATCATCCCAAAGTGTCTCAATAATTATTTTTTTAAAAGTGCTGGCTTAAACAAAGTTGAACCTGGTTAATACATGGATGGGGTGCCAATAGGAAATACCATGCTTATTGGCAAGACATGGAAATAAAAAAAGCAAACATTCCAGAAAAGACAGTGGCAGATCAATCCAATATTATTGCCAAAACAAACAAACAACCCCAGCAGGTCCATAACAGAACAACAGAATTGGAAGAGATCTTGGAGATCTTCTAGTCCAGTGGTTCTCAACCTTCCTAATGCCGCGACCCTTTAATACAGTTCCTCATGTTGTGGTGACCCCTCAACCATAAAATTATGGCTCAGATCCTAAGACCATCGAGAATATGTGTTTTCCGATGGTCTTAGGTGACCCCTGTGAAAGGGTCATTTGACCCCCAAAGGGGTCGCAACCCACAGATTGAGAATCACTGTTCTAGTCCAATCCCCTGCTCAGTCAGTACAGCCCATACCATTCTGGATAATTGGCTGTCCAGCTTCTTCTTCAAGGTTCCTCACAAACCTGACAACTTTGTTGTGCAAAAAAGTAGAAGACGTAATTAGAGGGTCAACTATACTGGACTTAAAACTTATTGACAGTAGAAATGAAAGAGCAACAACCGCGACTGGGGGCTTGAAACTAAAACATATGAAGAACAGTTGTAGGAATTGGGTATGTCTAGTCTGGTGAAAAGAAGGATTAGGGGTGACATGATAAGCACTGTTCCAATATTTGAGGTGCTGCCACAAAGAAGAGACGGTTAACTTATTCTCCAAAGTACCAGAAGGCAAGACAAGAAGTAATGGATAAACCAATGAAAAGAGAGAAGCATCCTAGAAACAAGAACAAATTTCCTGATAATAATTGAACAGTGGAACAGCTTGCCTTCCCAGGTTGTGGGTGCTGCACCACTAGAGGCTTTGAAGAAGATACTGGACAGCCACTTGTCTCATGTTTGAACAGGCTGTTGGACCAGATGACCTCCAAGGTCACACCCATATGCTAGTGGCTTCTCTGCTTCCACGCTGGGGAGGAAACCAAACAGCCTTTCTTGCTCACAGCCTCTCCTCCAACCTGTCCTCAACTCACCCTCCAGCTGCTGCTTTGACCCTGGGAAGAGCACAAAAGCTACTCGGCGCATCACCTTCCTCCCATGAGTGATCCGGTAGATCCTGCGCTTCTCCTCCCCTCCCCTCCCCTCCTTTCTAGCAATGCAGTACTTGATGTTTTAACTCCTTAAAGCTCAGCCCCAGATACCTCTACTCTACTCTACTATTGACGGCTTTCTAGGCACCAATGTTGCCCATCTGACCGCCATCTCCCGATAGGAGGCAGTAAAACAGGCTTGTCCTGTCTCTACCTATTAAGGCGTTTTGCAAGACATTTTCACTGATTACATGCCACTGAGTCTTTTTCGACTCCGAGCAACCGATCTTTGCAACCGATCCAAGTGAAATAGAGAAACGTGACACTACTTAACTTGTGAAAATTAGCTACATGCTGAGCCCTAAATAGTCATGAGGTGGTTACAGAATGACAGAATAAGAGTTGGAGGAAGGGACCAATTCTCCAAGCAGGGGATCCTATACTATTCCGGATAAATGGCTGTCCAGTTTCCTCTTAAAAACCTCTGCTGAACTTCTGGGGGCAAGGCATTCCACTGATTAATTGTTCTTACTGACAGGAAGTTTCTCTTTAATTCTAGGTTGGGTCCCTTTCAAATAAGTCTCCCTCTGTTATTTCTTGTCCTGCTTTCTTCAGGAGCTTTGAAGAATAGGATGACACACACACACACCCTTTTTTTTCCTTCCTAGGTAAGCCCAGTTCAATTGTGGTTGTATGTGAAGGATCACCTGTAGTATCTTTTTATCTTCATTCTCACAGAACCTAAAGAATTGCTCTGAGCAACCTTCCCAATTTCCAGAGGAATTAGATTTCCACCTTGAGTACTACTGGGTCTATGGGCGTGGCTTGGTGGGCATGGTGTGGCATGGTTTGGTGGGCGTGGCAGGGGAAGGATATTGTAAAAATCTCCATTCCCACCCCACTCCAGGTAAAGGGTACTGCAAAACCTCCATTCCCACCCCACTATCCTGCTTTCCAGCTCCATTCTCCTGTGCAGGGCAACAAAAGAAGATCCAGCCGATCAGCTAGGACTCGAGAGCAGAGATGGGGGCGGGGCCAGTCAGAGGTGGTATTCCGAACTACTCAAAATTCCCGCTACCAGTTCTCCAGAACTGGTCAGAACCTGCTGAATACCACCTCTGAGCCTGTGGTTCCAGGGCTGCTAACCAACTGGTTGAATTACTGGTTGGATCTTTACAGGTTTAAGTGATGATGCTGGGGTTGTGCAATGTAGTGAGCTCTGTGTCTTTGGCTAATCTAATGGTAGTGGATTAATCCTATTATGTCCTAAAAGGTCATGTCCTGTTCTTAGATGTCACAAAGGTGCTTTTTCAGGAGGGCAACTGGACTTCCTTGTTTTGTTTTGTTTTCTTTTGAAGATGTTTCCCTTCTCATCCAAGAAGCTTCTTCAGCTCTGACAAGATAGTGGGGAATGATATCCTGACAGAGCTGAAGAAGCTTCTTGGATGAGAAGCGAAATGTCTTCAAAAGAAAACAAACAAGAATGTCCAGTTGCCTTCTGAAAAAGCATCTTTGGGACAACCATGACCTGGATGACTGAGAATCTTTAGAGACTCCTGTTCTTAGAATTTGGATGGTGGAGAATATAAATTTTAATCCCATCGCTGGAGTTTTATTTGTGAATAGGCTGGCCCAATCTTTCTTAACACAAAATATCTGCTGGAGGCTATTAAGAAAGACCAAGTCTGCTTTCTTTCTTTAAAAGCATGTTTCTCCATTTCTCCTTTGGGGAAATATAATATTCTGATATTACCCAAAATATTTCATTCTTCCGGGGGGAGGGGGGGAGGAAGGTTTTCCCACAATCCCAAAATGTTATGACTGATTTCCTGTGGCTCCCAAGGATTTAGGACATGGCAGCACCATCAGGCCAGACACTCCAAGGGAGCCAGCTTCATTCCTGCTGGCCAGGGCTGCATCCAAGAGCACCCACAGTGCCAATTCATTCCTGAAGGAGGAAATTTGATATTTGCTAAATGCCATGTAAACCTGCCTGCACGGAAGTCTCCATTAGGTCACACAGAGAGAACAATATTTAACAGATTTAACAGATAACCAGAGTTGGAAGGGACCTTGTAAGTCATCTAGTCCAACCCCCCGCCCAAGCAGGAGACCCCACACCATTTCCGACAAATGGCAGTCCAATCTCTTCTTGAAAGTCTCAAGTGATGGCGCTCCCACAACTTCCGAGGGCAAGCTGTTCCATTGGTTGATTGTTCTCACTGTCAGAAAGTTTCTCCTTATTTCCAGCTTAAATCTCTCCTTGTTCAGTTTCCATCCATTATTTCAGTGCACCCACAATCCCTTAATGCAGTTTGCACAGTGTTAAGGTAGCAAAACAGAGCAGTTTTCTCCCTCTCCCATGTGACAGTGATTAGAAGCAGCCGCCATTTTGACTCTAAGGCAGCTGTGACAAAATGGCAGCCGTTTCCACAAGTCCACCACATGGCCCAGGGATGAATCCCGAGCATACTGAAAATAACGGCTGCTTCCAGGATACCGTCGTGTGGCCCTGGGATGCCTGTCCTGGCCTGCTTCACCAGCTTGAGGTTCAGAGATCTTCAAAGGGTATGGAGGAGGAGGCTGTGAGGCCTGGTGGGGTGGGAGTCAGGCCTGTGGGGATGCAGCAGGGGAGGAAAAAAGCCTTTGGGGACCCCTGTGGGTGGGGAAAAGGCTTGTGGAGGCCCCATGGGGAGGGAAAGGCCTGTGGGGACTCTATGGGGAAGAAAAGGCCTGTGGGGACCCTGGGGAGGGGGGAAATGGCTATAGGGATCCTGTGGAGAGGGAAAGGCTTGATAACAAAAAAAAAAAGATAGTACACCGTTATCAAATTAATATTTTCCCTTTTTTCTCTCCAATCACAGGTCTACTTTTGAGATATCTTTCAGTAAAATGAATCAGGCTGCAACTTAAACAGTCAATTTCTCAGCTACACTTCCAATGACGGATCAAAAATGAAATTTAAGCCTTCTCTAAACTTATCACCTTTGCCTAATGTGGATTTCCTTGACTTTCTCTCCTATGTGTAAACCTATATGATTTATAAGTCATTTGTATGGTTTCTCTCTGGTCCCTCACCAGGTCAAAACAGTGACAAAAACTTTTTGCACAAACCAGACATTCAAAGGGTTTCTCTCCTGTGTGAGTCCTCTGGTGTATCACCAGGTTGGAATTCCGACTGAAACTTTTCCCACAATCTGGATACTCATGCGATTTTTTTCCTGTATGAGTCAACTGATGGCTCACCAAGCTGGAATTCTGATTGAACATTCATATGGTTTCTCTCCTGTGTGAGTCCTCTGGTGTTTCACTAGGTCAGAACAGTAAGTGAAACTTATTCCACACTCTGGACACTCGTATGGCTTCACTCCTGTATAAGTCCTCTGGTGTATCAGTAGATCAGAATTCCAACTGATTTTTTTCCCATAATCTGGACATTGGTATGGTTTCTCTCTTATGAGAATCCTCTGGTGTTTCACCAGTTTGGAATTCTGACTGAATTTCCCCCCACAATTGGGACATTCAAAGGGCTTCTCTCCTCTGTGACTCCTTTGGTGTATCACCAGGTGGATATTCTGACTGAAACTTTTCCCACAATCAGGACATTCAAAGGGTTTCTGTTAGATCGGGTAGATCGGTTCCAATCAGAGACGCGAGACCAGTGTACTTCAAGCTCTTTATTTCATTGTATAGACCTGTACAAGATCTTGGAGCCGTGGCAGCCCTTCATATAGGGATTGCTCGCGGCTCGTCGGCCAATGACAGTACTTTGAATCTCCCGCGATCGGCTCGGCCAATCGCGGTCGATTCCAAGTAAGCCAATCACGGTTGTTGAGTAGGCCAATCAGAATGCAGTTCGTGCAGACCAATCAGAATTTACCTTTTGGAGTATGTTAATACAGAACACCCCTCCCCTCTTGGTTCAGTCCTACGGGACGTGGTTACGTAGTCACGCAGATAGGCGGGGCTCCGTACCTGCCTATTTGACCTGCGCAGCTCAGTTGTTGTTTGGTCTTCGACCGGTTCGGATGGACTCTTCGTCACTCTCGTCCTTCTCGATGGAACCGCCTGGAAGGGTGAGCCGGGCCTACTGTGGTAGCTCCCACCCGGTCTACCCGGGTCGGTTGAGCTGCCGGTTCTGCTGTTCCCGCCTGGTCTTTCTGGGCTGGTTGAACTGGCTTGGCTGCTCCTTCCAGGTGAAGCTCCCGGTTGTTCGTCTGCTGAGGGGTCGTCGTCTGCCAGTGAGTATTGCTGGTTTATTTTGGTTTGGGGGTGTTCAGTTTGTGTTTTAGAGTTTTCTTCCCCTCTTTGTTTATTGTTTGAAGTTTCCCCCCCTCTCTGGTTTCTTTATTAGTGATTGTTTGTGGTGTTTGTGTGCTGTCCGTGTTGTCGGTGGTTGTTCTTGACCTTAGTTGGTCGATGTGCCACTTCCAGCTTTGTCCGTCGTCCGTTTGTAGCCGGTACGACCAGGGGCCCGTTACCTGGGTTATTTTTGCCAGTACCCAGAGCGGGTCCCCTGTGAAATTTTTGGCATATACCGTGTCTCCTGGGGTAAATGTTCGGTGTTTGCTTGATGAGTCTGGGGGTTTCTCGGGATTGTATGTGGGGTGCAGTCTGTCTAGCTGGGACCGTAATTTTCTTCCCATTAGTAGTTCTGCTGGGCTTTTGTTGGTCGTTGTGTTGGGTGTTATGTGTTGTATTAATAGCATTTTATTTATTTTGTCCTGTATGTCCCCGGTTTTGATTTTTTCTATGGCGTCTTTTGTATAATGGACCATGTGCCCGTTTTGTATAACGGACCATCCGCCCGTTCGCCGCCGGATGGGTGGGCGCTGTCAACACATGCCGTATGCCCCGTTCCGCCAGGAATTTTTCGAAAGCTAGTGCGGTAAATTGTGACCCGTTGTCTGACACTAGCACGTTTGGTAGACCATGGGTGGTGAATAGTCTGTTTAATTCCTTGATAACGGCCTCTGTGGTGGTGGATTTCATGGCGCTCACCTCCAGCCAGTTGGAGTAAGCGTCGACCGTTATCAGGAATGTGTGTCCCTTGGTAGGTCCGGCGAAGTCTATATGGATCCTAGACCATGGTCCCCTGGGGGTCTCCCATTCCAGGATTGGGGTGGAGGGCGGGCTTGGTCTGGATTCCTGGCATTTTTGCATGAGGCCACCCAAGTTTCAATCTGTTTGTCCATCCCTGGCCACATAGTCAATACCCTTTTTTGTAAAGTTTCAGGGATCACAACCCTGTCCCCCCAAAGTATGCAACCCTTCTGCATAAACAGTTCGGTCTGCCGGTTTCAAAAGGTTTTAAACTGCTCACTGCCGTCGGTTTCCGGCCACCCTTTTTCCACCCAATTCAAGACCTGCGCCAGCCGTTTGTCTTTATTAGTTTCTCTGGCAATGTCTGACGCGGTCAGGGGTGGATTGGGTAGTGTCTCTATGTGCAGTGTCGATGTTGTGGGTGCTGGGTCGTCCTCCAGGTCGGGCAGGGGGGAGCGGCTCAACGCGTCTGCATGTGTGATGTTCTTCCCGGGTCGGTGTGTCAGTTGGTAGCTGTAGGCGGCAAGGAACTCGGACCACCTTGTCATCCTTGGTGACAGTATGTTCGGGGTGGCCTTGTTCCCTGCCAGTATCCCTAGCAGCGGCTTGTGGTTGATAATAATTGAAAAGGTCCTACCGTATAGGTATTCGTGGAAGCGCTTCACGCCGGTGATTACTGCTAGGGCCTCCTTGTCCAGCTGGCTGTAGTTCCTCTCCGGCTTGGACAGCGTTCTTGAGAAGAAGGCGATGGGTGCTTCTCTCCCGTCTGGCAGCGTGTGGCTGAGGATGGCTCCGACACCAAAGGGTGAAGCGTCGCAGGTCACGGTCAACAGTAAGGTCTCGCTGTATTGCATGAGGACTGCGTCTGATGTTAGTAGGTCTTTTATTTGTTTGAAAGCATTTTCTTCCCACTTCCCCCAGGCCCAGGTGGCTGTTTTGTCCAGCAGCCTATGAAGGGGTTCCGCTGTGGTCGTCTTCTGGGGCAGGAAAACATTATAAAAATTAATAAGTCCAAGAAAAGCCTGCAGTTCTGTTTTATTTCACGGTCTAGGGGCTTCTCTGATGGCTTTAACCTTTTTTTCCGTGGGGTGGATTCCGTTTTTGTTTAGAAGGTATCCCAGGAACTTAACTTTCTCTGTGCAAAGTTGACATTTTTCTTTTTTCACTTTTAGCCCGGTGTCTTTGAATTTCTGTAAGACCTCCCTTAGGCGGCTCTCCAATTGGGTTTTATTTGTAGCTGACACTAGCACATCATCGAAGTAGGGTACCACCCCTTTTATCCCTTGTAATAGTCTCTCCATCAGGCTCTGGAATACCCCTGGTGCCACGCTGACTCCGAATTGGAGTCTTTTGCATAAGAATGCCCCCCGGTGGGTTGCGCCTCTGCTGTCTCAGCGTCGACTGGCAGCTGCTGGTATGCCTGTGCCAGATCGAGTTTTGCGAAGACTTTGCCTCCCCTCAGTGAGTGCAGAAGGTGCTGTACCACTGAGACGGGGTAAGCACTCTGCTGCAGGGCATGGTTGAGGGTGGCCTTGTAGTCACCACAGATCCTCACTGACCCATCTGGCTTGATCGGGGTGACTATAGGGGTTTCCCACCGGGCATGGTCTATCGGCTCTAAGACCCCTTGCACGATGAGCTTGTCCAATTGCTCATCGATTTGGGGCTTGAGCGCGAATGGCACTCGCCGTGGCTTAAGGCGGATTGGGGCAATGTTCGGGTTTAGGTTGAAAGATATCGGGGACCCCCGGTACTTGCCTAGGTCGCCGTTGAAGACCTCCTGGAAGTCCCTCACGAGCATTTCTTCCCAGTCTGCCTCGGCGACGTGGTTGATGCCCGTCACCTCGATCCCCAATGGCGCAAACCATTGCAGTCCCAGCAGGCTTGGGTGGTCTTTGTCCACAATGGTAAGCGGAAGCACCTCTGCATGCCCCTTGAATGTTATTTTAAAATGTCCAATCCCGACCACGGGAATGCAGTTTCCCTGATAGTCCTTCAGGGTCAGCTTCTGGTTTTCTAGTTTGTGCCTGTGGATGGTAGGCACCAGGCGCTTGATTGTACGCCAGGAGACCATGGAGAGGTAGGATCCGGAATCTACCTCCATCTTGCATGGCTGATCCTCGATGCCTACCTCCACGTGCATTTTCCGGGCGTCGAGGGTAGTTGAGTGCCCAATGATGACCGTCTGATGGGTCTCTTCTTTGCGCCGGGCCTCGCTGAACCGCTTGTTCCTCCCGTCCTGGCTCCACTGGCTCTCGGCGTGTCGGTCTCTGGTCCTGGGGGGGGTGCCGTCTCATCGCCGGGGGCAGCCGTCTCGTCGCCGGGGCTGTAGTTCCTCTTATTCCGGCACACCTTGGCGATGTGCCCCCGTTTGTCACAGTGCTGACAGATGGCGTCGAGGAATCGGCACTCTCAGCGGGGATAGTCGCCACCACACCCGGCACACTGGAACCCCGACTTACGGCCTCGCCGTTCCCGCCGGTCTCGTTCCACCTGCAGTCGGTGGATCTCCTCATCCTCGGTCTCAGAGAAGGAGTCGAGGTCCCCGTGGTGTGTGGTGGTGGCCTTGTGGCTGGCCTCCGGACGTCCTTCCGGGGTTGATGCCGTTTCCACGGTTGTGGGTCGGTCTGCTGCGTTCATCTGCCGCATTCGGGCCGCGGACTGCTTGGTGGCTTCGGCTGCAGTTGCTTCGGCGATGGCCTCGGTGACTGAGATGTCCGCCCTTGCCATCAGCCAGCTCTGGAGGATGGGGTCCCTGAGCCCGAGGACCACGCGGTCTCGCAAAGCCTCGTCCATGTCGGTGAACCCTCACATGCCCCCGAGGTTCCTGAGCATGGCCACGAAGTTGCTGATGCTCTCACCCTCTTTCTGGTCCCTCCGATAGAACTCGTGCCGTCTGATGAGGTTGGGCACGGTGGGGGCGTAGTGGCTTCGCAGTAGCCAGTCGAGGTCGGGCCAGTCCATCTCTTTCACGTCTGCGGGCTTGGCTAGAGCTTTGGCCATCTTGAACACTGCGGGCCTGCAGTGCGTCAGGAACACGGCCCTCTTCTTCTGTCCGTTGGCATCCTTTAAATTGCTGCTCTCGAGGAACATTAGGAATCGGTCAATGTATGATTCCCAGTCCTCGGCTGCCTGGTCGAAGGGTGTGGGTGGCGAGTTGCTGCCGGCCATCTCGTTGGTCGTTCAGTGTTGATTCGCCACATGCTCGGTTGGTCTCTTGTCTCACGATCCCATCCTCGTCGCCAGTGTTAGATTGGGTAGATTGGTTCCAATCAGAGACGCGAGACCAGTGTACTTCAAGCTCTTTATTTCATTGTATAGACCTGTACAAGATCTTGGAGCCACGGCAGCCCTTCATATAGGGATTACTCGCGGCTCGTCGGCCAATGACAGTACTTTGAATCTCCCGCGATCAGCTCGGCCAATCGCGGTCGATTCCAAGTAAGCCAATCACGGTTGTTGAGTAGGCCAATCAGAATGCAGTTCGTGCGGACCAATGAGAATTTACCTTTTGGAGTATGTTAATACAGAACAGTTTCTCTCCTGTGTGAGTCCTTTGGTGTCCCACGAGGTGAGATTTTCTAATGAAACTTTTCTTACAATCAGGACATTCAAAGATTTTCTCTCCCATGTGAGTCCTCCGATGTATCACCAGATTGCCTTGCTCACCAAAGCAGTAACCACATTGGGAACCCTTTCCTGTGTGGATCCTTCCATGCACCACAAGGGAGCTATTCTGACCATAGTTTTGCCAAATTCAGAGCATTTATATGGCTTTTCTCCAGTGTGGATCATCTCGTGATTTACAAGAAGCTGTGATTTACAATCTGTGCTTTTCCCACAATAGGCGTATCTATGGAGCTTTTCCACCGATATTTTTGAGGAGGTCAAAAAAAAAATGAGATCCCTTGTTTAGTGGTGCTTTGATTCAAGCCCTTTTCTTCCTCACAGGGTGAGACCTGTATTACTGTCTGCCCTACATGACTTTCTAATTGACTTTTTCCTCCCCACTGGCTTCCAGATATTTCCCTCTTTTCTGAATGGAAAAACAATCTCCCTTGACTTTTTCATGTAATGTATCTTTGACTTCCGCATATTCTACTTTTTCCAGGTTGAAATTTCTTACTGATTTTCTTTCCTTTGTCTCTCGGCTGCTGGAGAAGGAGAAGAATTGTGTGGTTTTCTAAAGGAAATGTAAAATAGATGTATTTCTGCCTCAATTCGTTTTCCTTTTCAATGTTGCTTGTTATTCTCAGTTGTCTAGAGTTCTCTTATTGGCATCATCTTTGTCTGTAAGATTCAAACAAAAGTATAACTTTAATTGTTTATTAATTGGTTTAAAAACCAATGTATAAATTGTTTTGTTAAAAAAGGGGGGGAGTATACATTACAACAAAAAAGCAAACATGCCACAATGCTGGAATAATCTCTTACATTAATTATGATTCATTTGACACATGGAACACTACTGAGATCCAAGCATAAAATCCATTCAAGCATAAAATGGCTTGTTGGCAAATACAGTCATGCGAAAAAGAAAGTGCACACTCTTTGAGTGCCCTTGATCAATTGATCATCAGCAAGTACCTCTATAAAAGCCAAAGTTGAAGGAGTTTGCTTGTCTCCAGCATTGTGGTGTTGTTGCTGCCCATTGAATGGGAAGGTTTACAAGGACATTTTCAAATAATTTAAAATTTATCCTAGAGCGAGGAAGATTATTTAGAAGTAGAAAACATTCAAGACAATGTTCCCAAGAGTGGACATCCTAGCAAATTCACCCCAAGGTCAGACTATGCAATGCTCAGAGAAATAGCAAAAAACCAAAGTGTTACATCTCAGACTCTGCAGGCCTCAGTTAGCATGTTAAATTTTAAAGTTCATGACAAATATAATCAGAAAAAGACTAAAGAGAGGTAAGTTTCTTTTGGAAGAGTTGCTAGGAGAAAGCCTCCTCTCTAAAAAAAAAAAAAAAAAAACATGGCAGCACAACTAATATTTACAAAGTTGCATCTGAACAAATCACAATTCTTCTGAAACATTGTCCTTTGGACAGACAAGACCAAAATGGAGATTGTTTGGCCGTAATACACAGTGCTATGTTTGACAAAAATCTCATACATACCATCCAGAGGTGCTATTCAGCAGGTTCTGACCAGTTCTGGAGACTGGTAGTGGAAATTTTGAGTAGTTTGGAGAACCGGCAAACACCACCTCTGACTGGCCCCGCCCCCATCTATTCTTCGCCTCCAGAGTCCCAGCTGATTGGCTGGGTCTTCTTTAGTTGCCCTGCACAGGAGAACGGAGCTGGAAAGCAGGTTAGTGGGGTGGGGAGGGAATGGGGATTTTGCAGTATCTTTCCCCTGAAGTGGAATGGGAATGGAGATTTTACAGGTTTTACAGTACCAAGCCACGCCATGCCCACGAAGCCACACCCACAGAACCGGTAGTAAAAAAAATTTGAATCCCACCACTGAAACCGTCAAGCATGGTGAATGAGGGATGATGATTTGGGTTTATTTTGCAGCCACAAGACTTGAACACTTTGCAATAATTGAGTCGACCATGAACTCTTCTCTATACCAAAATATTCTAGAGTCAAATGTGAGGCCACCAGTCCAACAGCTAAAGCGTGGCCAACATCAGGTTATACAACAGGACAATGATCCCAAAGCACACCAGCAAATCTACAACAGAATTACAGTAAAAGAAAAGAATCAAGGTGTTGCAATGGCCTAGTGACCTCAACCTGATCGAAATGCTGGGCCAGGATCTCAGGAGAGATGTGCAAAAAATAAATGCCTCAATGAATTGAAGCAATGTTTTAAGAAGAGTGGGCCTCCACAATGATGTTAGGGACTGATAAAGTCATACAGAAAACAATTACTTCAAGTTATTGCTGCTAAAGGTGGCTCTACAAGATATTTAATCACAAGATGTTATTTTTTCCACATATGGCTTCTCTATTTTGGCTTTCTTTTTATAAAATAAAAAAGATAGATTGTACAATTGTAGACATATGCATACAGAGAGAAATATAAATACAAATATATATACGGAAAAACTTCATGTGTTTCAGCCTCAAAAATGTCCTAAAATGGTTATAGTCAAAACATCTGAGCTAACTTTAGAGATGTGGGGCTTTAACTGAATGAAATGATACTTAAAGCCTCAGGAAGATTTGAAGCACTAGTTTTGCTCATGGACGTCCTCAGCTCCAAATAAGGGCAGAAAATACTGTCGTTTTTTTACTGTCATTGTCACTAAGCAGCCCAATCATTAAGCATGATGTCACATGACTGCCAACTTACATCTGTTCCTCTGCTATTGTTAAGCAAATCACGGTGAGTTGTTAAAAGGCAATTTCACATCACTGTGACTTGCAATTTCCTGCCGGTATACTCATTTCTTTTGCTTGTCAAAAGCTAGCTGGGAAGGTCACAAATGGGGATCATGAGTGTGAGATGCTGCAACCATCAGAAATGTGCAACAGTTGGTAGAAGTTGAATTGGTGAAATTTTCCTGCACCTTCAAAACCACAGGAATTGCTGGTGTGTGGTCACTGAAGAAGTGCTGCTATGACCACAAATTTGTGGACCAGGTGTACGTCTTCTTTTACAGTGCCATAGTAACTTTGAAGGCTCAGGGAACAAGTGGTAAGTGAGGACTACCTATACAACCATCCCAAAAGGTCCTCAATAGCTTTTTTTTTAAGGGGGTGGGTTAAGCACAGTTGAACCTGGTTAATACACAGATGGGGCGCCAATAGGAAATACCATGGTTGCTGGCTAGAGATGGAAATTAAAAAAAACATAAACCCCAGAAGAGATCAGAGGCAGATCAGTTTGATATTTTTGTCAAGAAAACAGCACGTCCATAACAGATTAACAGAGTTGGAAAGGGATCTTAGAAGTTTTCTAGTCTAATCCCCGGCTCAGACAGCAGATTCTATACCATTTCAGACCAATGGTCATCCAATCTCTTCTTAGAAGCCTCCAGTGATGGAGCACTCATAATTTCTGGAGAAAAGCCATTACCAAAGAATCAAATTTAACTTGAAAGAGACTTTTTAAATCTTCCCACCAGCAGAAAATTGCAGCCACCAGTTTTAAGCAGCACCAGGGAAGGAAAGGAACATGTAGCAGCAACTGACTTGTTTCACCCTGTTGCTTCCATGGCGTGGAAGAAATCGAACAGCCCTACTTGCTCCCAGCCTCACACAATAACAGGGTTGGAAGGACCGTGAAGGTCTAGCCCAATACCCTGCACAAGGAGGAGACCCTGAAAAAAATGCTCTTTTCACTCCTCCGACTTGTCCTTAACTCACCTTCCAGTTGCTGCTCTTCCATTGGAAGTGCACAAGAGCTACTCTGCACATCACATTCCTCCCAGGAGTGAGCCAGAAGTTCCTTTCTGCTCCCCACCCCCACACCCTGTCTTTTCTAGCGATGCAGTACTTGGATGTTTTAACTCCTTTTAGCTCCACCACAGATGTCGCTATTATATTGTTGGCTTTCTTCTAGTCGCGGATGCTGCTTATTTGACTGCCATCTCGTGACAGGAAGACGAAAAGCAGGCTTGTCCTGTCTCTACCAAGGCGTTTGCAAGATGCTTTCACTGGTTACCTGCTACCATTTTTTTGACTCCTAACAACCTACCTTTGCAACTGAGCCAAGTAAAACAGTGAAATCTACCACTTTCCTTGTCAAAATTAGCTATGTGCTGAGCCCTAAAAGTTCATGAAGTTCTTACAGAATAAGAGTTGGAAGGGACTGACTCTCTAATGGGAAACTCTGTAC